CAAGACGAAGCCTTGCACCCGGATGTTGATGAGAATCAGCAGGGGCATCAAGACGCAGGACGTGCAGCAGGCACTGCCCCAAATGCCAAGAACCTGGTCGAGGAGGTGTCAGAGCACCGGGCACAGCGGACATCAGGCAGTCTTCAGTCGGGGACCGAAGGGCGCGGAATGGAGGAGACAGCCCGAAATGAAGCACTGTCGCAGCATGCGGCAAGTATAAGTGAGGAGCACAGAATGAAGGAGGCAGATAGACGGTTTCCTCCTGCTTCAGATACGTTGGCCGTGCAAGCGCAGGACCAGTGCAGCCGCCAGTCCTGTTGTGTTCGGACCATTCGTTGTCAGCAGGACGTAAAGCCGGAGCCACCAGCGACCAGCACTGGGCAGCCCAAAAGACAGCCACGGAGCAATGCCAGCGAGAAAGTGCAGAAGCGCGGCAATAGCCTGGAAGCGCGTGCTGCACAGAAGCAGGCACTGCAGGAAGGTAGAGTCTTGAATTGCAAGAGTGTTGTGTTGTGTTCGAAGCGAGGCCAAGCGGGAGAAGACGGCAGTGAAGCCCAGCGCCGCCAGCACCATCCTCGGAAGTTCTCGCCAAAACCGTCGGAGTTATTTTGACGGTCAGGCCCGTCAGGCAACTCCGAGCCTGGGCCGGGACCAGGCTGCAGGCGACTTGCAAAGTCCAAAGTGACACGCAGTGCATGTGCAGTGCATGTGCAGTGCATGTGCAGTGCATGCGCGTCGCATGGTGGCAGGTGGAACTTCTCAACCGAGGTGGAGGCCACTCCGTCTCTCCTGTCCCTTTGCTTCTCAGAAATCAGAAGGACCTGCCGTTTGCGCATTTTTCTCAAACGGTGCTCCCCTGCTTTTAAATCTTTTAAGAAAAGAGCTTCACATCTGCTAAACTTGATGGGCCCTGCAACCCCTGCATTGTCCTCTGCCACAAACGAAAAAGCGGCAAGCAAGAAGGTGATCACAGCGCAGGCACACCAGCCTGCGGTGTCGCAGATGGCACACAATCGACACTCCAACAGCATAACTTGTTTTTTCGCACAAAGCGGCGACGTCAGCCCGCGTTTTGCACGGGTGTGGCGGGCCAGGCGAGTTACAAACAGTTACACAGGTGTCCACCCTCGTTTCACAGAGACGATTCCCCCGCCCCCTGAGACATTGCAGCTCCGTATCACAGCTCTTTATTGGAGGGAGAACGTGAGATTTCACCATCTAGGGCAGTCACTCGTCTTTGCACATTTTAAAGGGCAGTCACCCCAATCTAGTCACTTGCCGTCAACTTCTCAACCTCCAATATTCGCTATGTCGACATCCAATCTTTTGTTATCTTCCGATCGTATTGCCTGCTTTGCCAATGTCATCTAAGTCCACACTAGGACAAAACACATGACGTCTCAAAGCCACCTTTGCAAATCTTTCGCATATTCGTCGATATAATGGTACAAGCTGTCTTTTAGCGTGCTGGTTACAGAGTGTATTCAATGTAAAACGCAGCCAAAGAGTACAAAACTGTCGGATAAAGAAGTGCTTAGTTAACATGGCATAGAGTCCTAGGTCCTATAAAATGTTCATTTTCTATCACACGATACATACGCAACGCGGCTTCATACATCATAGTCATAGTGGAAACCTTTTAAATGCCTTATGGCGGGAAGTGCGAGGACATCGAACAGAATCGCAGGGTATTTTGATCAAAGTTAACTCAAGGTATATGCAAAAGCTTTGGCAACTATGACAAATGTCCAGAATGTAGAGACATATGATCGTTGCCAGCATCTTGATCTATAAGTATACTGCCCATGAGTTTTTTTTATTTAAGTCTGAAGCTTCTGCATACTTGGAAAGCCATGCCCAAAATATGCTGGGAAGATGAAATGGGGAAGATGTAAGCTAACAGCAACTAGTCAAAGGATGTAAAAACACAATCAAGACATGGTCGAAATAATAACGCATCCAGACGAGAAAAGCCATTTCGAACTTTCCACATGCATGCAGTGTATACGTGAGTCCTGCAGGGGTTAGTAGAAGATGTTATTTTCCCATCGTACTGGTACTGGTCACTATTGGTCTACATAGATATAAAATATCATTCAACTTGGCTGCAACACCTGAAGCCATTGAAGCATACATTGTGCATATGATCAAACAGGGCATCAAAATTAGTTCAATCTGGCAATCAAACGTCTATGAACCATAAGATGAACAAGCCTGGGCTTGCCCAGTTTGGGAGTTACATCACCATCAAGCAGGATACATAAATTATGCACTATTCTTGATGGTAAGTTGTTGTGGGGTATATATAGTCTACATTGAGCTATGGTTGGGCGACTGCGGTGTCATTTCCAAAACCGCTGGGGCGTAGCCTAACTCTGATAGGTAAAGCCTGATGAGCCGAGTATGGCAACGCTGGCGCGGAGACCGGATGCCCCAGACAAGCTGGAGACAGGCGCGGGGCTGGATTTTGAGGCATAAACATGGCCCTCACCCTGAGGTGATCCGAAAGCCAAAGCGTCGGCCCCGGCACCCCCGGCTCCGTGGGAACGGCTTTACCAGGCGAAGGCAGGCCTTCCCGTGCTTTCAGTTTCATGGTGACATGTCGTATGTCGCATGTCGAAGACTTTGCATTGACACGAAGCTCCTCCGACACGGCCATGCATATGCAATCCATCGGCCCCACGAATGGAAGCCACAGCGCCCGAGAACTTGCAAGGGGCACACGGAGAGTGGGTCACGGAGCCAGAGCGAAGACGAACTTAGCTCTTCAAACAAAGCAGCTTCTCCAATCGCAGAGTGGACACGAAGATGAGACTACACGAGACTGGGACAATCAGAGCTTTGGTCGAAAGAGTTGCGAACATGAGTTTCAGAGAGAGAGAGAAGAGAAGAGCTTCAGAGAGTGTGCGAAGACGATGGCACCCGGAACGAGCTCTTTTCACGCTGTGACTGACCGCGTAGATGTCCTTTTAAGTCCTTCTGTTCAGGAACATGGGTGGTTCGAGGATTTCCAAGACTGAGATGACGAGTTTGAGTAAACGGAGCTTTAAAAGTCAGCACTAGCCGAAACACCGAAACCAGCTTGCGATACAGAGATGATTCCTGCGCCTACCTTCTATGTCTCTTGCCGGAAGCAGGCGACTGGAGATGCAAGACCTCTTCCTGTCAACTTGCTCCAGAGTCGAAGGAAACGTACTGCAACATGTTGGTACCTTCCATATTCTCGACATAGGTATGCGGAAATTTTTAGGGAGCTATCAGACGTACTGCTACTTTTCATTATAACATGCTGTCCGTTAGATGTCCCCAGCATGCTGTCCGTTAGATGTCCCCAGGCGATGAACAGCATTTCGCTCAGCATACGACCCACTACACATTGGAACGTGTCGTGTTCAAAGTATTCGAAGCCATGTCTTTTCATGTTCGTACGTCTGCTGAGCTGTTAATGGATAAGTTTCGATCGAGTACAAGAATCAGCCAACCGCATGGCATCCCCTTCCCCCTCTCGCTCTGCACATCTTGCATGGGTGTGGGCTTCCCGGCCACGCTCTTTAGCGGCATGAGTGAGAAGTGCTCACTACGGTTTCTCCGAGGCCACCACATGATGCATGTGATGAAAGTACAGCATGGCTTCGCAAATTATCGGGTGGCACTTGTTCAAACGATGTCGTTGGTTGTACTTGGTGTTCGGGCCGCGATGCTCGTAACAGTTGTGTTTCTTTGCACCTTCGTATCTTCTCTGAGACGGACGCTCTCGCATCAGAGTCGTGTCCGAGGAGTATCGACGCTCACACGTATCCGACGTCTCGCAGCTGCGACCCGCGTAGTATTCGTTTCTGGAGAATCACAGATTCGTTGGAAGGTTTCTCGACGGGTCGTAATGTG